GACAACTTGCCATCTTCACACACTATTGTTTCTCCACTGAGGCCACTGACGCCTGACTCATTTTTGAGGCTCCACAATGAATTCATTTTCCAGTCAAGTATGGAGTGAAAGTTCCACTCTGTCGCACGTTAAATGAGACATCATTTGAGGTACAGATGAACATGGTATTAGCATACTTCCACAAATCCAGATGGGATATGCCCTCTGTAATTAGCAATAATGCTCAATTCATTTTGGCTGAGACCATTATTTTCTCCACAGAGCCACTTACTTAATCCCAGAGCCATGCTTCTTCACCACAAAAAATGCCGCAGTGGAACTTCTACATCTATAGTCACACTTTTCAGTGTCTCAAAGCACTGCAGCATCTCCTAAGTAGTCTTTTGAAAAGCCTCAAAGTGTCATCGTTGGATAAATGCTATTTTCAGTGGGCTGTAATGAATAGCACTTACAAATCTGAATGGCTCTCGTATCAGGTTTTGGATCCAAAGTATTTGGGGGAACAATGAGGGAGAAATCACAAAGCAAAAGAGACTGAGGAGCAGAGTTGAGTAATGTCCTTGTAATCTGCCTCCCTGCTTATATTTTCACTGTGTTTATGTTTATTTTATCTTCCAACAGACGCGTTAAAGTAGTGACACCCAACTCTGGTCCCACCCAGTAACCGTCTCGTCGTTGAGAGATGGCACAGGCTGAATTCAGGTGCTGAGAAGAGGGGTAAGTGTTGGATCATTACTGTCATTCTTCCGCGATGATATCATTGTGTCTTCTTCTAAAAGAGCAGATCCTTTATCAACCACATGATCTATACAGGCCTGCAAGTCAGAGGAGGTCTCAATTATCAGCTCTGAAAAGTTCATTCATCATCTGCTTCTGTATTACGATGTGTGCATGTCTGATATCTGATACAAGACTGAGCTCAGTGCATAGAAGTTTTAGAATGTAATCTCTCACATAAGGAGAACAAGACGCACATTTAGAACATATTTAGTGTATTACAGATTACAAAAACACTGTTGAGATCATCTTTCCAGTGTGTTTCTTTGTTAAAACATAAAATGATTTCATTAACTCATTCGCTGCAGACCATTGTAGGTTATAGATAAAACACTGCAGGCAAAGAGGGAAGGCCATAACAACTGTGACACTTAGAATAACTCACCAAAAATCTGTCATCCGAGTATCAAATACTCAGCACCCGTAGGCTTGAAAGTAGCTTTGAAAAATTGTCTCTTTCCCAGAAGACAGCAGATATAATAAACTTATAGCAGCTGAATCACAAAATGTGTCAGATTGTCCATAGAAACTTATTGAATCACTCCTGAGCAAAACACAAATCTATTTCTTTAACTATCATGTATGACAAAGAGCAGCAGAACATCCTCACGTTTCATGAGCTGGAGTGTTTGTCATTTGTGTTTGATCTGTTTATAATTTCAGCTCTATTCCAAACTAAATGACTAAATGCTATACTTCTGCATTTCACTATTACCTCTGTATTTATTGACCATCACGCAGCGACTGTTTGGAACAAACTGAACAGTATGGTCATTTCACAGTTTAATGCTTTGACACCTTTTTTTTGCCATGACTTGGGTCACTGGTCAAATCAAAAGATAAATAGATATTTAGTGGACTATTCCTTTAACTCTCATGTTGCATCAAAACTCAGCGCTGAAATCTGGGTGTTATCTTTGAAAACAAACTTAACTTCAAGTTAAAGTAAGAGGTTCAATCGTGCTTTCGTAATATCTCAAATTTGATTCATTACATCCCACTTAGACTACTGTAATTTGCTGTATTCCTTTCTCACTCAACAAATCCTCTCCAAACTTCTACTCACAAAATCCACTAGAAGAGTCCATATTTTAGCATCTCACTTGTTACTTGTATGTTTTAGAATTGATTTAAAATTGTTAATAATGACTTTAAAAGCACATTTGGGGTTTGCCCCTGATTACATCACTGATGTATTAAACCCTTACAAGCCTGAATGCAGCCTGAGGTCTGTTAGTAATTCCTCAGTTAAGGCTGAAAGCCAGAGAAGTTGTCTTTTTTTCTTTCAAATCTCTCTTAAAAACACACTTTTTTAAATTGCTTTCTCTTTAATCGGTCATTCTTCAGTTACTATTTTCGACATTTTTTTTGTTACATTGATTGAATATCACATGACTCCTGCTCCTTGTCTTTGCTCTCTTTTGCCTCCCTCCCCTCTGCATCTAAAATCTGATACAAGAGCTTTTCAGTTTTAAGTGCTATTCATTACAGCCCACTGAAAATAGCATTCATCCATGCCCTCTGAAGAGAGAAAGACTTTTCAGTTTTCTGTTCCCGTGTCTTTTTTTCAGAATCTGTGCTTTTACTGGCAGGTCTTCTCACCAGACCAGCGGACTATAAATATGACCCCTCTGAATGCCCACATCCTTGCCCCTAAAATAAATCATGTGCCTTTCAGCTGGAGAAGACACACGGCACCTACCACGACAGTCCCGTCTGTCTGCACAAGCTGCAGTCTGCAAACGAGACAAGTTCTCAGATCACAATCTACCAACACACACACACACACACACACACACACACTTAGGGACACCCACAGACAACAGCAATCCTCTGAAGTACCCTGGGAACGAAGCACTGCTGGCTCACCTCAGGGCTCTGGATGACTGGATGCCAGCTCTGGCCCAGCGCGGGCCCTGCCTTGCCTTGCCTGTCACTCCTCTTGCTGCTAGCTGGCCAGAGAATAGAAGCCAGTGTGGGGACTAGGGGGACTGGAGCTCATCAGAGGGGTTGACTCAGTCCTGCCTGCTCCCGCAACGCTGTGGGTCTGGCACTCTGCACAGGTGGAAAACGGAAGAGGGTGAGTGGGTAATCACGAGGGTGTTGGCCCCGTTCTGCCCACACACACAAAAAAAAAAAGACACAACCCACAACTATGGGCCCTCTTACCAGCCTGTCGTGTGTGGTTTTCTGACACTGTCATCACAGACGTTCAGCAATGAGAAACGCAGACGGGGAGGAAGAGGAAAGAGAGAGACGAAAAACAGGACACGTGCCCACCCAATTCAAGAAATACAAGCTGAAAGCTCAGAGAAGAGGCAAAGACCTTCACAGGGAAGAAGTGTTTTGATTTCATGGTGGACCAAAAAGTTATTCTGAGACTACAAAGTAGGGAGCAAATTGAATGTGTCAGTGTGGTTAACTAAATATGAACAAATACCTTGTACAGTTTGTCTGTTTACTTCTGCATCTTCGCAGTATGTGTACCCAAATGGAGAGTGAGCAAACACCTAAACCGACTAACACACAAACCGACTCGCATGGAGGAAACAAGTAGACAAATTCATTTTGACGCAAATCGCCCTTGACTTTTGCCAATCTGTCAAAACGTCTCACCCTTCCCAAGCATTATCCGCACCGTGATATTCTTTCCTTCCGTCTTTAGAGGAACGTCAGTGTGATGAGCGTCTAAGCTGGAAACGGGCTGCAGTTGTTTTCTTTGCAAAAACACCTGTCTAAACAGCAGCAAAGCCAAGGGCAAGTCTCGGCTGTCAGCGTCGGTGACAGCTCTTGACAAAAATTCAGGGGAGACGATTCCTAAGACGTCCACTCAAGCGAAACAATGCACGTGTGCTGGAATGACCCCAGCTGGACTGCATCGCTCCTCTTTAAGTCTCAGTGTTGTTTGCAGGAGCTCTGCAACAGATAAACATTTAACAACACCTGGACGAAGGTAAAATGCAAGATCTTTTGCTTGTCTCTGGTTTCAAATGCACTTAATCCTTCTAAATACACCGGCGGTTCCAGTGACATCGACTCTGCCACAAAAAAAAAACTCTTACAGTTGTGTGACAGCAACAAAAGGCTGGACTATTTAAGTGATTAATTAATACAGCTTACAACCATTTATAAAGCCGTTTGTATCATCTGTCCAGAGTGGATTTACGGGCTGTTTCAGGGAAGATTTACTGAACAAAGACCAGGTGGCTTATTAGCTACCAGAGACTTGGGTTGGTCTCTATAGAGGGGGATCTCTAGGGTGGTCAAGTTTCAGTCCTTATGCTTAAATTTCAACACATGCATCCTTAATCTGTAATGCCCTCATCAGCTATAGTCCAGTTCCCATCACCTGCTGCTCATATGAGCACCTCCAGGGCCTGTTCCTGTAGGTTTGTGTTCGCAGCATGGAGTGAAAAATTACAATGAAACCAAGACTCAACTGTGGTAACAAGCTGACACTGAGTAATGAGAAGGCCTGTACACATTCATAAAGGTCAAATTCTGGTAAAACTATACTACTCAAACTCATACCATGTGCTAATTCAGAGCTTCTGCACCAAATAAATGCCACGTAGAGTGCCATTTCAAATTGGTTTACAGTAATACCGACCAAAGTATGAACGTCTGATGGAAAACCTGTAGGAACAATGTGGCCTACAATTATTTATTATTATATCTTGTTTCTCAGTACTTCCCAGCAGTATAGCACTCCCTGATGATATAATTAATTCAATTAACTAGACCTGGACCCAGATAAGCACCAGACAATGGGTTGATTTAAAATGATTTTAAGTTTTTAAAGGGTTAGTTCAGATTCACCACAGTTGCACAATAAGACAAACTAACCGATCGAGGCAGCAGTAGACCAGCAACTGACGTGTTAAAGTAAAATAGCTGTTTTTATGAAAGGCGTCTGGTGGCTTTTAAGAGAGCTATTTTAAGTTCCCCATCAGAAAGGGCTGTCTGACAGCAAGGTAAAGCCATGACAATATAATGAATATAGCATACACTTAAACTGAGTTTGATTTTTGTTTTTGCCTCTAGCTGCTACCAACGACCACAGAGGTATATTGCTTTGCTTCAGCACTGGTACTCAGGTCTGTGTAATACCTCCTACAACCCCAATTTAAGATATTCAAACTATCCCTCTAAGACCTGCAGATACTCTGTAATTCATAGAAATGAATACTCCTAAAAAAATATCACACGCAAATCAAGTCAAATCATTTCTTGTTTTCCATGTAGCATTTTTATTTAGAAGCACAAAACTCTGTGGCTGTTTAACATCAGCTAAGCATTCTTTCACCTGTACATTCTTAATTATTATGATCAGAATGAAAGCAGCTTTGAAATGGAGCTTTTATTGTACAAATACATATTTCAGTCAGTGGATAACACATTAAATCATGCCAACATGTACTAGCATGTAGAAACTACTTTGACAAAACTGGTTAAACGTACAACATCGCAGTCGTCTCTTACAATAAACAAACTGTCAAACAGGCTAATAAAGTGAAGATCCTCGTCTTGTAAAGCATTTCATGCATCATAGCTAGTCTTCAAACTTCTGTTCTATAACAGACAGCTTAATAAGGCTTTATGTAGAGACCTCTTGTAAAATGTTGTACGTTTGACACTCCTGAGTCATATTCACCTACCTTCATCAACACTTTAACAACACAATGTGAAAATGTAAAGCTTAATAATCAAACTACCACAAAGACTCTACAAAAAAACATTTAGACAACGGAGAAACTGTTTACTTATTTGTATAATCTGATGAATATAAAATGTCAATATTGATTTAAGATTGTAAAATTGAATTATATTTATGTAAAATAACAGTACACAGTTAACGTCACAGCACTGCTAGTGCAAGCCCCTAATTGGCAAATTGAAGAAAGAGATTAATTTCAGTCACTACGGCATTTCTTTAACGCCTATTTCCCTTCTGTTCAACTGAGAAGCACCTCAGACATAAAAGATAATTTGGTTTCACCTCCCTGTTTAACTCCAACAACAAATCCACTTTGCAGTTGGATTTGACAGCTGTAAATAGTTTAATCTTTAGAAATATACTGCAATATATCTGATCATTTAAACAAATGTCTCTAATAGCAATGGCAGAGGAAAATATACGTATATATATAAAAAATATTTTCAATTACCAGAGGGATTACAGTTGTTCTCCTTTAAACAACCAGCTTCATACTATGAATCAAGTCTTTTTTTAATATGTATTTAAGGTGAATCACAGAAATAAAAATGATAGCTGCGTGTAAACTTGGAAAAACAAAAACGAAGGTCCTGTTGCCTTTTTGGTAAACCACCCGAGAAACCATTCCTGCTAAATATCCGAACTACAGGCCAAGGCCTCGAAACCACACAGTCTGTTCTTCATCTCATCCGTACGACTGACACACGGGAACACAGAGAACGCACTCTGAACACAATCCTGAAAGACGAATACTGACTGAAGGCAATTTTACATCTTTAAGTGCTGGAGAGGAGTCACTGCAGCACACACATGGAGCTGCGTGGGGGGTTGACTGTCCTGGCCACGGTGTCCTGACTGTAGTTCACGATGTCCGCCTTCACCACACGCTGAAATGATGCAACGACAGATACAGACATTGAATCCATGCAGTGATTATAGACACTGATCAGAATATTTGTGCATCTCTGTTATCATCATGACGGTTTTTCTCTCTACATCACTCAGAGTAACAAACATGATGACACAACAATAGGGGAGGCGTGATTAGGTTCCATCAGTCTGAGCGGTTTCTCTACTTTTTAAAGGACTCAAATCTGAACCACGGGAACTAAATACATCTACCTCGACTGTGATGTTCACTACAACTACAGAGCAGCTGTTTTTTGCTTCTGAGATCTAACAGAGATCTACTGTGATCTACTGTCTAACTGTGGAGACATACTTCCAACTATTGAACAGAACATATTTTGCTTTGCTGGTTGTTCTCTTGTCTAATTGGGCCTTCATCCTGTGGGTAGTTCACCAGCTCAGCCTTCACAATCCTCTGAGCAGGTTCAACACGTCAGGAAAGCAAAAAGACAAAAACAAGGACCGAGACATGGGAGAGGATGATTAGAGTGAGAAGAATGGAGTCCAAAGCCAAGTAGGGTGAGGACCATGAATAAGAGAGGAGAAGGAGAGGGTTATGGAGTGAGAGAAATTATCAAGAAATGTGAGAAACAGACAAAAAACAGTGACGCATGACATCAATGTACACAGAAATATTTAAGCCAGAAATACAGACTTTCATTTTTGTAATTCAAAATTAAACTATGATCCCAAAAATCTCACGTTTAACTCAAGAGACAAAAAATAAATAAACTTAAAGCGATATTTCCATTATCGTTTAATTCAGCCACTTCAATGTTTTTAACGATCTAACTAACGCTTTACATTGCAGCTGTTGAATTTTAGGGATACATAAGGTTGGGCCTTCAAGTTTAAAGAAACTTACATTTGATCTTAATGGTGCAACTGGCTGCTGCATTACCAGCGAATAACAGAGCACATGGCTGAATAGCAGGCCCTGGTTGGCTGTCTGATTAACGAGCTGCCGAAGCTTGGTGTCGCAGTCAATGAGTGATCCGTGGCCCCCGCTATCTGATCCAACAGACAGAGGACCATGACGGAGAGGGCTGCCAGGCAGATATAATACTGTCAGGGGTTGTGACCCTTGTGTTCAGCTCTCTGAAGCTGACAGCTGATAATGAGGCTTCGCGGGCCCCACGGCTAGACCCAGAACCATGACCTGTTAAAAGTCTCATCTCTATATACACGACGCAAACCCGGTGTGTCGTTCCTGCACATCTCCAACATTATATTATATTGTCTGTTTAAGAACACAGTGGAGTTTCAGATGGAAAATAGACCAAACTGGAACAGAAACGATAAACTCAGTCTACAACTATTTTAATAATGCCAAACAGTTCCAGCTTCCAAAATGGAAGATGTTGCTACATTTCTCTGTTTTATATCATTTTAAACTGAATATCTTTGGGTTTTGGACTGTTGCTTTGGCATCACCTTGGGCTCTGGGAATTTTTGAATAAATTGTCAGACTAAACAATGTGATTCTTGGTTGCAGCCGAAGACCAAACCAGCAGACATTCAGCACGTATTGAATTAGTTAAAAAATTTGCAGTTTGCGGAAAAAAACTTTTCCTGATTTTCCTGACACGTCTCTAATGCCCTGGAGTCCTCATGTTTGAGATCTCTAGAACATCCCTTTTTTTTTTGTCAAACTACTGTTGACACAAATATATTGACGAGGATAAAAAAAAACAATTGAAAAATGAAATACTGCTGGCTAATCACTTATTACAAATGTGTGGGGATTGTACACTCTGAGCTGTGGCCACACATCAGGTTTATATCTATATATACATTTGGATCTACAAGACACTTGACACACTTCTGTCAACTAGTCTTTTCCCATGAAGAGCATGTTGGGTCCAGCCACTCACCCAGTTTGATTAGCCTGGATTAAAGCACTTTGCTTTATTGACAGATCTATCAAGGGAGGGAGAATAAACTAGATGGACAGCTCCATTAGTCGATGGTCATTTTCAGTTAGTCAGCGTTTCAGTTAGTCAGCGTAGTTGGTGTTGGGAGAGGGTCTTGAGAATTTGGCCGGTCTGTCCCTTACATGCTCTCCCTTCTCTGGGGGTCCTGACCTCTCTGTAGCCCCCAGGCTCATCAACTACTACCCAGCCAGTGTGGCTCCAAGCAGTCATATCAGACCCAGGATTAATGCTTCTGGGGGAGGCGACCTTGTAAATCCTACAGCTGCCACCATTGGGCACATTGGTCTGGCTGGCAAGCCGAGACCCTGTTTTAGCCCAAAACGGTGGGAGATAAACCAAATAAATCAGACAGACAATCCTAACCTCCTCACCCCTACAACGGCCTACCTTTAACCTCCGACGTCACGCGTTAATGTGGTCAATGTGGGTCTATTTACAGATGGCCAGTGTCAGTGGCAGGTAGATCATCACAGGACGCAGACGTAACAAACTCGTGTTTACACAACAAATGGTCCTTTACAGTGTGGGGTGACCTCCACTGACCTAACACACTCACTGTGACCTCCCTTAAGTTCAGGCACAACATAACACGTAATGTTACGAGAACTCTAAAGCATCTACTTTCACTCATTTACCAATCAATTATACATTTAAGAAAAGAGTGATCTCTCGACTAGCGCGTTAAGTGCAAAGCAGAGAAAGAAATGTACATGTTCTGTCCAAGTTAGGAGCAAATAAACCATTTAAAATGTGGCTTAAAAGCTGCATAGATGGTGTTATTTGAGAGAAGGACCTTGATGCCATTGTGGCTCACCTGGGACTGCTCTATTTCTGCTTTGTTTAGCTTTACACCAAGAATCTCAGCAGCCACTCTCTGGAAACAAAGGTACACCTGCAGAAAGACAAAACGAAACAGGACAAAGTAAGTGTTGTTAAACGTCTCTCTGTACATCACATTCTCATTGTGACTTATTGAATCAGCTGGTACTAACCGAGTCCCCCGTCTTGGCCGATACAAACTGGCTGACGAGGCTGTTCTCTTGGCAGAAACGCTGGTGTTTGTCAGCCTTCACTGTCCTCATGTGCTCCATGTCGACTGTGGACGCAACACAGCGTGACATGTGAGAAAATAGATAGATTTATAAGGTGGTTACACGGCACTCTTGCAGGGTTCACTGTCACGTATCTGAACATAAACAGAAAAGATAAATGTTTACATTCGAGTTAAGATGGAGGGGGGATCTGCCTAGTGTAAAAGAATAGGCACGTGCAAACAAAGCATAATTCAATTGTTATGTTACTTTCAAACGCAGCTGCTAGTTTTATTTGTTAATTTATGGAGGGAATCATTTCAGGGGGGTTGAGAGTATAAATGATGAATTCAGTAGCACCGAGCATCACCAGTCCCAGCTGGTACTGAAGCTCGATGTGACACATTCCTCGGTGTAAGCCTCGTACAGTTCAACCCCGAAGCCATGAACCTCTATTTGACCCGAAACAGACAAACCAGCCCAGCTGTGGAGAAATGTTTAAGATACAATGCGAGGGTGACCGAAGTCTTCAGGCGACACTCACAGTGAGAGCGTAGAGAAAACAGTTTGACATACGAGTGTGCCGGCCTTTAAGGTGAGCACACGGGCCCAAGAACTGGGACTGTCACCTTCCTGCTGATTTACCGTGAGCACACAATGACAGCGCCTTCCTTTTTAGCTATTGTGATGTGCATTCGACTCCTGTGCAGTGATACCGCGCGCTTTGCTTCTCTCCTTCCTCCCTATGGGGTCATGCTGGGATCGATGAGGAAGGTCACCCGGGGGTCCTCCTGCTGAAAGCAATAGCTTCGCTCTTTATTTCTGGCTTTGTGCGGAAAGGCGGCCACGCCCGGTATCTGGTGCGTACATGTCTATGGTAGCTGGAGGAGGTCAGGCTACTGTACGGTGTTGCATTTCTCTCGTCCCCCCGAGTTTTACTCTTTGTGTGAGGTTTCATTGAAGTTGTCAAGGATTTTCCCCGTTCTCATGCCCCTGTGTGTGTGTGTGTGTGTGTGTGTGTGTGTGTGTGTGTGGGGGAGGAAGGAGGATGGGGGGGTTAAAGCCAGAAGCAGAGAAGGAGAGAGACAGATAACATAGCGAGGAAGAAATGTAAACAGTGCACTAATCCTGTATTATTAATATCTCAGTAAGTCATATGACCCAAAAAAGTTAAAGGCCAATCCACAGCAACATATGAAATACATTTGGAACGAATCATTTTAGACTAGAATGAATATCACCATCATCATATCATCATAAGTGACATATAAACACAAACCTTTTTGGGCAAGAGAAGACACTTTTACAACTACTCAGTGTCCAGGGCAGACTGTCATGTCTCGGCCTGTACATAAACATAACTGTCTCATAGGCGTCAGCAGGTTATTTACTTCAGTCATTAACAGCGGAGGTACCCTGCATGCTACTAGAGGTAAACACTGCTAATCCTTTGGATCCTGCACACTTGGGAAAGGTTATCAATCACGTGTCACAGTCAGATTAGCCAACATTAACATAGTGGCTCAGCAGCTGAGGAAGGCATGTTACTGTAAATTAAAAAGTGTACAAGTGAGTGAGGTTTCTGAATCCTGCCTGTGGGTACGTGCATCAAGGGGAGGAGGGATACAGAACTAGGCCATGAGGAAAAAAATAAAACTAGAAGAGGCAAAATGTAATTCTGCTTACGCTGCAAAATGCATGCGAGTTGTTTGAGTTGAAACACTTACAGCAGTTGAAGGGTCAGTCGAAGTTAAAGCACTGAAAGAGTATGGGGTGTATGTTGAAGTGTGAACGCTAAAAAGCATTTGAAATTTGAATTTAAGTTGAAGCACTGAAAGCAGTTGAATTTTCAGTTAAAGAGTAAGAAGTTGAGTTGAAGTGTAAACAATGACAGCATTTTAGTTTCACTTAATTTATCTGATTCCACTTAAAGTTGCGCCACAGATAGTTTAAGTGTGTGCTGTTTAAATAATGGTCAGCTGCTATGTAAGCAGTGACAGCGGCTGAATTATCAGTTGAAGTTTTCGAGCTGTCGGTTGAAGAGTAAAAAATGAAATGAGTCAGTTGATGTTTTTCCACGTTGTCTTGGAATTTGTAGATGTTCAGATTGCCTTTTTCGTCTAAACACAAGGAGCTCCGAAAAAAAGAAATCTATAATCCCAGGGCAACTGGGATGTCTTTAACGATCAGATGATATGAAAGAGAGACCCAGAACATCTACTAAATGGACCTTGTGGTGAGATTTCTTTGTCGACATATAATCACCGTACACCAATAAGCGTAACAAGACTGTCCTCAGTTTTACGCTGTGTGCTCCTTTAAGTCACAAACTAATACTCTAGGTGGGCCCACATTCTCACACAAAAGATTATTTTTCAGCATGTGGCATCTGTCTGTGTAAAATGAATACAAGGCTAATCCCACAGTTTTAGTGGTTTGCTCCATTTGTCTCCCTAATGTACCCATTTCTACTTATCAGGTCAAAACAATCTTCCTGCGCTGATCTGGTTTCCCTCCATTTCTGTCAAACTGTACATCAGCGTAACAATCCCTAGGAAATGACTGCAAAAATGAAATAAACTGTTTAGGCCTTCGAGCGCACAGAGATAGTGGAAGGGATCATCACTCGCCAAGAGCGATGGCCCTCCCTCGCTCTGGTCACCATCAGTGTTTATTTAAAAGGTCTGCCTGTCGTTGCGGGGAATTACAAGACAACAGTTAGAGATTAATATCTGGCGGATGAATTAGGCTTTTACCGTAAATAACAGGTTTGTTATTGTGGTGACCTTTTACATAAATGAGAACAAAACCAAATGAGGAGAAAATATGGATGTTTCTTTCCACATGTTGGTGTCTGTGGGGATGTCAGCTTAGCTCCTTCATGGAAAGAATCTGCTCACTGGCAAATCTGATTATCCTGAAACCAGACAGACTTGGAGGGAGTCACTAAAAGCTTGAAATTAGCAACAAGGTTGGATTTTGGGAGAATGGATCTGCCCAGAACATGCTTTAAACCAATACTGTTGCTGTATCACCTTCCCTTAATAGAAGAGGAAAGTGCACCAACTGCCAAGTAACAATTAACAATAAATGATTTGACTAAGTGACTTAAATTGAGACTATAGCCATGTTTCCACTCACGTATTTTATACACATTTTGAAGTATGAAGCATTAGCAAAGCTGAAGGAAAACGTCAAATTTCTATTAAACTTAAAAAATTCCAAAAACGGAAATGGCAGATCAGCTGTTTCTGCTGTCAGCCCAACTGAAACCAATCCCTGAAGACTTCTCTCCATGTTTCTACCCTACATGGGTTAGATGGCCAAGGCGACATGTTTTGTTTCCGGTTCGCAACCTTCACTTCTTCTTCTTCTCTGTTTACTGGCAGATTACAGCCACATGCAGCCTATAGTGCCAACTTCTGACAAAACTACACTGTAGCCTAGTTTATTCACTCCGAAGCACGCGGCACTTTCACCGCTCGCTTGCCATCAACATGAGTCGTTGAGAGGCAATCGTAATACTCCCGATCTCGGACCTTTAAAATGTACTTGACAGAAACCTGGATAAGGCCTCTACCTGGTTTATCCAGGTTTCTGTTGGTAGAGAAATGAGTGGCTGAGATGTTGAGGAATCAAAACACACCTGCAGACACACGATCAGAAGCCTTAACCGGGTTTTATGATGTTTCATGTGACTGTCAAACTTACTGACTTAATGACTCTTTTATCCTGTAATGGTCACTTAGCGAGGTACAGGAACAGACCTGTTTCATGACTGCCACTGTGGCAACAATGCTGCTGACATTACAATTACATTGGCCACCTTAACCTCCTGGTTCAAGTGATGAAGTTTTCATCTCAAGAATTGTGTTGTATCTATTATTACTTTAAATGAGAATATTTATACCAGAACCAAAAAGGTTACCGGCAAAGCACAATGCATTTCCAGACACTCTATTGTTATTCTAATTGACGCAGCAACAGGCCAAATGTGGACGATGTGAGAACTCAAGGATGGATGTTTCCTTTACAGTTCACCAACACACGTTGCCAAAGCAAAACAATAAGCTAACAGCTCCATGTTGGCTAACCAGCTTGACATCCTACACTGCACTGTGTGATCCTCAGTGGGCTTTTTAAAACCACGCTGTGATAACAGAGACACCTACTTACTGTTCTACCGAGTCAGCTGCTGGGGACCAATTGGAGTTTACCCAGCGAGCAACAGCCACAGAGTAAGCTTGACATAACACAGTTAATTGCCGACAGCCTCATTTTAAACTAAACAGCAGTTGTATGAGGGTTGAGGATGGAATGTGTGAACTGCGTGTGTGTCTATGTGTGGTAGTAATGGTGGAGTGTGTGTGTGTGTGTGTGTGTGTGTGTGTGTGTGTGCGTGTGTGTTGTCAGAGACTTGGGGCTCTGAGAGGTCATATCACATTAAGTGAAAGTTACAGGGTTGAGCCTAATCAAACCCAGGGGAGAATCGCTTCCAACATTACCTCACGCTATGTCTTTAAGACCCTGTTAAGAGGGGTTGCCTCACTTTCCCCTCGATGACGATCATGAAACAAACTATAGTCAGGGCAGGGATTATCAAACCAAGACCTACTCCTAATGCAAATTAGGGGATTTGTGTCTTTGTCTTTACTGCTTCACCTTCAAAGTAAAACAACATAAGATTCGTGTCTAACGGTGATTATACGTGCTGAAGAGTCCTGGTTACCAACATGCATCAGCACTATGTGCTCACAGTTGCATCTCTGCAAACGTATTAGAAAGTTCATCTTGCAATCATGATCTCTCCATCAGATCACAAGCCACAATCTGCTGTCCATCCCTAATGTATGGACTCAAGTGGGAAAGAAGGCGTTTGTCTGCAAAAGGAATTTGAAGTGAGTATTGTGATATCTCTGGCCGTTTAAGACTATTTTATATTCAATGTCACAGTAAATAACTCCGTCATTACTTGTGTCTATTCTTAGATCATTTCAGTCGTCACATTATCTGTTGCCTGATTTCTTACTGTCACAGCGGGAAGTTGTTGCATTGATGTGTGTTG